TTCCTCAGCCAGCAAGCTGGCTGAGGAATTCTGGGAATTGAAATCCACTAGTCTTAAAGTTGCAAGGTTGGAGACCCCCGGACTAGATGATCTCTGAGTCTCCTTCCAACTCGATTATTCTGACTTCAACTCCCATAATTCCCCACAGGCTGCCTTCCTTTATTGTCATTGCACCTCATCCAACAAAATTAAATACCATCTTCAGTGTACATTATGATTATGAAAATACACGCAAACGCACATCCTTCACGCTCCACATATTGAACTAAAAACCCCTGATATTGCATTCATATTGCACTATACAGTAGAATTCAGTAGAGTTACTGCCCTGGGATAGAAGCTATTTTTTTTTCAGCCTATTTGTCCTTGTTTTTATTATTATCCTGTACCGTCTGCCGGATGGTAATAGTTTTTTTTTTTGTTTTTTTTAAAAAGGGGGTTCCCAGGATGAGATGGATCTTTGAGGATGTTTTGAACTTTCTTAAGGCAGCGGGAGCTATAAAGCTCTTCCAAAGAGGGGAGAGGGCAACCCATGATCCTCTGGGAAATGACATTAACCCTGTGTAGCGCTGTCCTGTTTGCCCCTGTGCAACTGGCAAACCATACAGAGGTGCAGTAAGTTAAAAATACTCTCTTATGGTGCAGCAGAAGAAGGTCACCAGCCGTTTTCCATTCCGTTGTTGTCTTCTGAGAAGTCTCAGGTAGTAGAATCTCTGCTGGCCCCTTCCAACTCTATTATTCTGACTTCAAATCCCAGAATTCCCTAGAGGCTGCTCTCCTAGCCCCTGCAGGGTGCATTTGCAATTGCAAAAGGCAGACTATCTGCCCTCTGCAATTGGCATCCCTTTCGCTCCTTGCCCTCTCTCCCGGGGGCTAAAACGTTTGCTCTGGCCTCTGGAAAGCCTCACAAGGACTTTCCACGGGATGAAAGGTGAAGAGGCTGCAGGATGAGCCGACAATCCTGGCTCCCGCCTGCCTCCAAACCAGGAAAGAAGCTGTCCAATCTCTCTGCCCCTCTACCCAACCCCAGAGACACCCCACGCAAGACAGGTTCTGCCACCTTGTTATCTCGGTCCTTCGGGGGGGCCAAAAGAGAGGACTTACCTTTCTGAAGGTGGATGATGTCTGGGAAGTTGGAGAGGAGTCCCTGGTACAAGGAGAGGGTGTCCAACATAAGGAACAGGTCGTTCTTGGGTTGCTCGGCAAACATCTCCCCCACCACCTCGTAGGTCTTGCCCGTATGGGAGATGGCGTTGTTGAGGGCATCGAAGCTGTAGGGTGGGTCCATCTGGAAGGCTTGGCTGACGGCCTGGAAAGCGTTGCCCAGTTTTTGGAACTCTTTCCGGAAGCCCCCAACATGCTTCCTGGCCAACTCAGAAGCTACGCTGGTCAACTGCAGGACACTGTCATCCATCTTCTTGCTGAAGGCCTTGAAGGTGTCCACTCGGTCCTCCACATCCTGCAGGTCTTGGTGCTCGGTTGGGATCTGGAGGGTGAGGAGGAAACTAGCCCCCACCATCTCGTCCTTCTCTGCCCGGCGTTTCCCCATCTTCCACTGCTTGTTGTCCCCGCAGTTGAGGAAGTGTTGGAAGCCCTCGTACTGGGAGAGCGCTGGGTGGCTGGTCATGTGGTCCATCCACAAGATCAGCCTCCGCTTGCGCTTCTCGATGAAGTCCTCCCCGAAGCGCCCCGTGGCTTGCTTCTCTGGCAGGTGGGGCACCGAGATGACGGTGAACTTGTGCAGCAGGCGGTTGTACAGCCAGTCGAAGTGTTTGTAGCGCCGGTAGACCGGCGAGTTGCTGTGGCTGGGCGTCAACCGGTAGGAGATGTAGCTTTTGATGCCTTTGAACTTGGTCTGTTTGGTGGGCTCTTCCACGGAGCAGAGGAAAGGGTGCGGGTTGGACCGCCACTGTGGGCCTTTCGCGCCCATGTCTATGTAGTAGGCCTCGGCGATCTTGCCCATCATGGGCACATCCCCCAAAACAAAGGCCTCCACTCCAGAGCGGACGAAGCTGGAGAAGCGATTGAGGTTCCGGCTCACCATACTTCCTCTCTTGGAAGACCCGATGCTGTCCTGCCTTTCCAAAGACGGCTTGGCCCGACCCGCGACGTTGTTGGGGTGAGTGTAGGGCCTGGGGCAGGACAGGCTGGGCGAGGGGTGCCCGTTGGTCCCCGCCTCGCTCCTGGGCTCCTCCACCACCGTGCTTTCATCGTCCCAATCGTCCCAGTCATCCTCGTCGTCTTCAAAGCTGCCCTGGTGGGCAATGTCGGGGGCGGACGAGGGGACGTAGAAGGAGGAGCCATTCCCAGGAGACCCGGCGGGGCTGTTGGTGTACGTGGAGGAGGACCTGGAGCGAAGGATCTCCACGTAAGAGGCGGGGAACAGGCCCGTCTCTCCTCGGGAGTTGGTGCCTTGCAGCCAGCCATCCAGCGACTTCTCACTGAGAAGCACCAACTCTTCGTTCTCGTGGATGCTTATTTCTTCCTTGTTCTCACTCTGGAAATCGTAAAGCGCTCGAGCTCGGATGGCCATGGGGGTGTCCGGTGAGGCGGCCAGGTCTCTGCCCCCCCACCAACCCCAACCCCCTCCGGGTGCTGTTGAAAAGGGGGCCGTCCCCAGGAAGCTAGCAAGGCCTGCAAGCAGACTCAAATGAAGAGCAGAAGAGGACTAGGTCCAAAGAAAAACCACCACCTGGTGCTTCTAGAGAAGGAGGTTTAAGACGGGCAGTTGCTTCCCCAATTGGCGGAGGGAGGTTAAGAATGGGGCAAAGCAAACAGCATTCTCCTCGGGGGTCAAAAAACCTCAGGCCAGGACTGGGAAAAGCAGAAAAGGCTCATGACTGTAGCCCTATCAAAGCAGCCCAGGGGTTAACCCCTCCATCTCTCCGGTCTCTTTTGGAAGACTTGAAACTACAGGTCGGAATTAAGCATCTTGATCTGAAGATGTTGGTCTGCACCTTCTAAATCTGGTTGCTCTACAATTAAGAAAACCTGTGGGTCTTTTTTTTTTTGGTTTTGTTTTGTTTTGAACGATAAAGAGAAATTCAGGGCAATTCAGGATTTCTCAAGCTTTCAACCCAAGTCCCTCTGGAAGAGGAAAAAAAAAACCAGGAAGAAAAAGCTCCAGTTGTTACAAACCAGAAATGTTTTGCAAGGCTGAATAATAATCCCAGTTGGATTGGATTGGAAACCCACCAGACTCCCGAAAGGGTGGAGGAAAAACGCGAGAAAGCTACAAATCACTCCTCTCAGTGTAGAGGTCACGCCTCAGTCCACACACACAACAAAGTCCACGTGAATCTGTTGTTGTCTCTCCACCACAACCCTTTTGTTTTGTTTTTTTGTCCATGCCACACACACACAAAAAAGGAAGAGAGAAGTGGGGGGGCAGGAAAAACAGCCCCCTAAATTGAAAGTTTTACCTCTTTGCAGGATCTGAAACTTTGGGGCGAGGAAGAAGGCACCCCAAAGCAAGCAGAGCGTGTCACCCACCAAGGTGTCCTCCTCCTCCTCCTCCCAAGCCACCTTGGGAGAGCTTTCTGCAAAGCGATTCAGATCTACCAGCCAAGCGTAAAATCCCTCGGGGCGCTTGGAAGAGGTCTCTTTTGTTGTTCGCTCTCGCTCTCCCTAGTCGATTTCCAGCGGCTCAGAAACCAGGGCAGCATTCAAAACAGATCGCCATCAGGGTAGATTTAGTAGAGAGAGAGAGAGAAAAGTCAGAAAGAAAAAGGAAGGACGCGGGTCGTTGCCCTGGAGCCTGGATTTCCGTGCGCTCGCTTGACTTCGCAGCAAAGCTCCGGGAAAGCCGATTGCGCCAGGAAGAGGAGGAGGAAGAGGAGGAGGAGGAGGGTGGAAGGCCAGGAGAGGAAGAAAGGACATCCATCCACTGCAGAGCTTGGAGAAGTCGGGAAGAAAGTTTGCAGGACTGGCGGGGAGACAAAGGGGACGGAGGGTGGCGGCAGCGGAGTCCCCTTTTTGGAGAGGCGCGCGGGGCCGACGGGTGGCCGGGCAGGCAGTCCAACCGGTTCCACCGCAGGCGCTTCCGGGAGGGACGAGCGACAGCCCTGGGGACAAGGGACAGGGCGCTGGCAGAAACTCTCTTCTGGTGGCGCCGGGCGGCCGAGGCACCTAAAGCGATCCGGGTCCCCTCGAGCGCAGCCAAACGGGACGCACGGCTGCGCTGCTCCGATGCTAGCAAGCAAGCGCCGCGGTCACCTCGCTGGGGCGCGCAATGCCCGTCCGCCTCTCCGCGGGGCTGGCAAGGGGGTCCTCCGTGCGCCAGCAGCAGCAGCCGGGTCTCTCGGGGAGCGGGGGGGCGCAAATGGGTACCCCTCCTCCTCCACCTTCTCCTCTTCCGTAGGGTAGCGAGACCACAAGGTTCGGCTGCCTCCGCGCTCCTGGGCGCAGCTCAGCCGCCGGACTGTTCCATGACGCACGGGCGCAGCTGCTGCAGCTGCGAACTTTTGCCAAAGGCGCCCGGCGCAAGGCGACCCGCGGACGCAGCAGGCGGGCGGGCCAACCTACGGCCGCCCTCTATTGGCAGCCGCGGAGGGCGCCGCCTTGACGCTCCGGCTCGGCCCTGGCACGGCCAGCCGGCCCCCTTAAGCCTGCGCCGCCGGGACCGGGAAGGCGACCGACGCTTCCAGTCCTCCTTGTTTTTCCCCACTCTCTCTTTCTCTCTCCGCGCAGAAAGCTGGACCGGATTGTTTGGATTGCGCGCGCGGAGGGTGGGTGTGGGTGTGGGGGGGGAAGCAATAGGAAAGTTGCAAAGCCGAGGGTTGCGGCTGAATTGCAATTATTTGAAATATTGTGGAGTACTCAGGGCTCTCTGAGCTTGGTTTGCTTGCGCACCTTTCTTCTTCTTCTTCTTCTTCTTCTTCTTCTTCTTCTTCTTCTTCTT